CACATTCCAGTATTCTGACCAAGCCTAATCTATTTCTATACTAATATAATAAAGCGTAAACACACACTTCTTTATGGCGTAAGATGTCAGCAGTCACAGTATATTTTTAAAAAAAATATTTCTTTAATAAAAAGCCCTACACTTACGTCACGTTTTAGGCTATATATTTTCACACTATTAAACATAAGGGGTAAATAAATTGGATAAAAATACAATGTGGGAAAGGGACCATAAGCTACAGGCTGCGAACATCTAAAAAGTAAGATTGCTATGGTTTGTCATCATGTCATGTCATTTTGACATTTGAAATTGATATTTTGACAAATGTAAACAATAAAATAAACTTTACATAAATTCATGAGGACGAAGTCGCACGGGAACAGCTAGTACATAAATATGTATATCTTTTTAATTCAACGCAATCAGAGATAGTTTCACTGATACATTGGATTGTTGAAAAGCAATAATGTTTTAAGAAGGGAATAGAAGAAAAAATTACAAGAAAAATAACTTTATCTCTGTCAAAATATGACATTTCCCAGATTTTTTTTCTGTAAATGTTGCTTCAAAAGACGCTCGGAAACATCGAGAAATGAAATGTCGAGGGACCCTCTAGCTTGCTTACTGATTTTATTAATAAGAAAAAAATATTGTCACAAAGATATTTCTTTTAGGCTTTACGTAATATTTAATGACGAGGTATTTCAATTACAGGGAAAACAAAAAAATCTTTATTTTAGAGTTAATTCTGTATTTCATGTTTTAGTATTTGTACTTGAATCAAACTAAATAATTAGCATTTGGTGTTATTATCAAAGTGTTAGTTCGAACGTAACAGAAAATTTAATATCATCACGTCTACAAATATTTAACAGTGGTAGAGCCCGCTTTAACATCTTCGCACGAATGGGCCGGCTCGCCCGGTGTAATACCACGACCACACAGAAGACAGGCGTGAAGTGGAAGCAATTCCGCGTTTCGTCTGATGAGTGTGGTGCCGGAGGCTTAATTTTAGTCTCTTTCCCTTGCCACCCTTTTCTTAAGAGGAAAGGATGGGAAGGAAAAGTGGATTTGACGGTGGAGGAGTATGCGTCTCCTCCACCGTCAAAGGAAGCGGAAATGTCCTCTTTATGTCCGTATACTCCTCCATCGATTAAGGGTAGGCAACACATCTGCAATTGCGGATGTTTATGGGCAGCGGTCGCTTTCCATTTCGGTGGATTCAGGTGGCCGCTTGCTCGTTTGCCACCTTATATTATAAAAAATAATAAGTACAGAAACAACAAAATAAAACATAATACAGAAAGCGCTAATGTGCAGAACTGAGCTGAGCGAATTGAGCTGATATATAGAAACGAAATTGTACGCTTTAAAATATTTATTTCACTATCGAGTTTATTTGTCATTCCTATAGGTGTACATTAGTCGTAAAAAGTGGGTGTTGTTTTTCGTGTTTTAATCAATATTTTAATGTTATTTTGCTACTGAAATTGAAACACTTCATATTTTATTGATAGCAGTTCTGAGTAGTTTAAAATAAGTTGTCTACACTATTTACTGCGTTAGGTTCACCGTCAATAAATGGAACTGAATAATGCAAAAGCTAAAGGTCGATGTTATGCAAGATGTATAATAATAATTTTATTCTGGTATAACTAATTGACTTCGATCACTTTGATTGGATTTAGAATTAGTTTTATCTATTGAAATTATACATCCATAATCCTATTCTACCAAAATTGCATGAAAATGACGTCATCGGTCACTGTGTAGTAAAATAAACAATAAACGGAACAATGAAAGTTGAGAGTATGCGGATTGAAGGATTTTAGCGATGAAAGGAAAATTTATGCTTGACCGAATTGTAGTTCAAAGCGCATTTGCTAACGCGTAGTTAAACTAACGTTTATTTTTGGCTATTTAACAAGTCATTACAATATTGAATATAACAAAATTCCATAGAAAACTTTGTTAAGTTTTACCGGAAATAGAGACATTTACTAATACCACGAGTTCGCAGTAAACTTTATTTAGAAATCCATGTTTAATTTCCAACTGTCATAGTAATTATTTCATCTACAAGGGAACACATTTGCCTTGAGAAAAACATACAAAAATCTTTGTCAATATAAATTTATATTATATAAAGTTTTGCCCAAAAAATAATCATACTTATGAGAGTCTAGAAGTGTCATAGAATAAAATGGAACTGTAAAAAGCATTACGGTATTCGGTTTCATTTTCATGAAAACGAAATTCATTTAAAAACGCCAGTCTTTTGAGAAGAGCGAAATATTAAAGAGATAGCGAGTCGATGATTTGAAATCGGAGCGTTATCAAGCTCGTCTCTACAAAGATTTTTTTTTTGGTGGAAAATATTTTACAGCTGTTTTCAATAAATAAATAATACATCTGTAAAAATCATGATAATACTTTTAATTTGTAGTTTTTATCTAAGGGATACTAATTAAACAACCTTGGCAATCTTACTTCCTTGATGTTGGCAGAACTTATGGTCTCTTTCCCACATTAGTATTTTTAGCCAATTTATTTACTCACTAAGTCTAATAGTGTGAAAATATATAGTCTAAAGAGTGACGTAAGTGTGGGCGTTTTTATTGAAAAGAGTATTATTCCAAAATATGCTGTAATTGCTGACATCTTAGGCAACAAAGAAGTGTGTGTTTACGCTTTATTACAATAGTATAGATTACCTAGTGATTAGTATTATGTTTAAGTATGTTTCAATGGAGATAAACTCAAGTTACGTAGTTTCTAAACAGTTTTCATGAAATTATTAGACCAAAAACAATAATGAATTGTTAAAACAAGCCGTAAGATGTAATAAATATATATCATTGCAAAAGACGTTAAGGTTCTAAGTTGAAGAATCGAAATAGTATGAGGATATAAAAATACATATGTCCATTTATCTCTTTGTTTCTACAACTATTACAATTATTTTTGAAAGCCGTTTCCATTTAACTTTTGATACAAAAGAACGGAACGGAAAATATTCAAATACAGATCTGTTGCTCGCATACGTCTGTCCACTTTAATAATTGAGACAAGCCTTTGCTGTCGCTTCGCAAACAAAAGCTTAACCGTTGCTTTCTGCCGTACGTTTCAAGAACACAGCAAAACTCGTTACAATTCATATAGTTTCATCATCGCCAGCTACATTCCCACTGAGGGTCTCGGCTCCTGGGCCATATTCAACCACGTTGTCCCACTGCTTGACTTCAACATATCTTTGAATTTCTTCTATAGATAAATTCACACAGTTTGTCACCACGTAACTTCAAAATAGCTTAAAGTATTTGCATAAAATTTTAACTAGATAAAGGGTACAATTTCGAACAATGCATAACTCAGATATATATACCACGCGAACGAAATCGCGGTTGACAACTAGTTTGTAATAAAATAAAAACATCTCTTTCATATCAAAGAGAACTGAAACAGTGAACGTGCAATTAAATTTTTTCTTGGTATATGAAGACATAAGATAAACTTAACAATAGGAAAGAAGATGCCATTTTCTTAAGATTTTTATTTAATCTCGCACCGTCTGGTAAAGAAAAATACGTACTCGGCTCTATTTTCTTGCGTCAAATTACGGGGTGTTACAAGGGTCGTAGGTGGGCGTGGGAATGGATTTTACGGATCATTAGACTAAATGGAAAGGAGGCTTTACAAAAAAACTGAAGGTTCAAGCTTATATTAGAAACTAATTTTTGTCGTTAATAACTTCAATGATCTGTTCTTGTAAAATGTTTCGTCATTTTCTCTTTGTAATATTAGATATTTTATTGCTTTACCATTTTTATTGGAATGTATCAATGAATAAACAGATTATTTAATTTTAACAAATAGTTTAATATGGCTTTTTGTTATTCTAGAACTTTTACGATCATTTTATGGTACGCCGGAGCCACTCTGACTCAGGCATAAAGCTATTATTTTGTTTAATTGTCCCCAATTTCTATCTCTTATAATTTAAATGCAACAAATACTACATTGTGTAAAGAATTAATTTATTTATAGGCTACGTTTATGAATATTTTAAAAATGTTACATTGTTTTTTTCACAGACTAATGTAGTTTTATCAAAATAATATGTCGATTTTGAATTTATTTGTTAGCAAGTTCATTAAATTTCAATAAACGAATTTCTACAAAGTTTACGCATTAATTAGTACTTTCAACTATCTTTTTTTTTAAAGCAAGAAGGGTTCAAAATTATAAGTAAAATTGTAGGGATAAAAACCGGTAATGCGCATTCCGAACTACTACTACTCCCCAATGCAATATGGTCTCCGATTACGATTTGGGGACCAAAGACTTTGCTCATTAATACAGCAGCTGCTTATTAATAGCTCTGAATAATTTAGAAAACTACATCAAAACAACATTCTGCACGGTCATTGAATCTTGCAAATACAATTGGCCAATTCATTATAACTTCGCTGGCCATGTTTCAAGTAGTATTTTACTGCTTACTAAAATTCATAGCTAATTTTACTACACGTGTTTCAATTACTGTATATGAAATGAAATCTGGAATAACGGATTTAGCATTCATAGATTCTGTTTCATCTTTTTGGAATCCACAATTCTCTTTCAATTGACTCGGTGTTCCCATATAGGAAACTACAATTTTCCATAACCATTCAACAAAATAAAAATATGTTATATTAACATTAAATAGTTACACTTATGCCTGGTTTCCCAGCTACTTTTAACCATTCATTGTTTTCGATAACCTTTGTGACCCGAGATTTATTACCACTAATAACACTTATTAATCACTCTCTCACTCTTCCTGACCTATGTCCCCAAAAGGGGCAGAGGGCGTCGACAGTACGCCGCCAGCTCGCTCTGTCTTAGGCTCTGCGTTTTGTCTCGGACCATGACAGCCAGATTGCCTTAATCACTATGTAATGATAAAATAAATGGAAACTTCAACAACTTGTAACATTCCTTAATTCTTATAACACATGGTTCGAACGAATATCAATGCTGGTTATCCTGCTCAACTGCGTCACGCTAGGCATGTACCAGCCATGCGTCGACGACCAGTGCATCACCAACAGATGCAAAATACTACAGGTTAGTTTACTTCTCATCTTTTAAGTTAATTTGTTTGTTAGCGCTATTTTTATCCACGAATCTCGATTAGACTTGCCTCAACTTCAGTCCTCTCAAGACAATGAGAACTCTTTAGAACTAAATTGTTTAAACTTTCGTGTGACATTGTCAAAATTTATTAAGGACGACTTAACTCACGTATGATCGTTCGGTGACAGAACCGACCAGTTTTGTATTCGATGACGGGTCCATCTTCACGGCGAATGATAATTTTGCTTTCTTCGCGGTCCGTCCTATTTGACACTCAAAGCTTTATTATATAATTTTTGTAAGAACAATTTGTTTACAGATTCTTTATAGATCAGCTTTTTCCTAAATATTTCAGATGTTTGATCTGTAATGTTTTGATCTTTCTTGGATTTCCGCTACACTATAACATGTTCACTTTATAAGTGGTTTCCAGGTCTTCGACGATATAATATTTGCTTTCTTCACACTGGAAATGACAATTAAAATGGTCGCGATGGGAGTATACGGTCATGGTACATACTTAGCCGATTCCTGGAACCGGCTCGATTTCTTCATCGTCATGGCGGGGTAAGTTATTATCTTATTAAAATTCTAACTTTTTTAATATTTTCTTTTGTAATTGCAATGGAAATTAATATATCGTTGTCCAGGGCTGTGGAATACACTTTGAATGTGGAGAATATAAATTTCTCTGCCATAAGAACAATTCGAGTACTGCGGCCACTGAGGGCAATCAATCGGATACCAAGTAAGTTTTATATCAAAAGAAAAGTAAGTGAAGCAAACTGTAATATACAGGCTACACTGTAATACCTAAAAGTCGTATATTT